GTCCTGCCATTCCGCTCGTGGTGCGCTCGGAAGTTGGGGTGGCAGCAGAATTTCAAGGCCGCGATCGTGATCACGAACTCGAGGAAGTCGACTTCCCCATCTTTGTCATCGCCAAGGTCCCTCAGGATGCGGCTCACAACGAACCCATCCACGGGATTCTGAACGGAATCACGACGGGGAGAGGGGGACAAGGAATCCGCCTGGATTTAGAGACGACAGACTGCAGAACACCGGCAAAATCTTTAGCACGTGAAACTGGAGCGGCTCACAACGGTCGCACATGCAGAGCAGCCCAGCATATAGAAGCGTATCGCAATGCACCATTCACAAACACGCATACGTCAGGCAAATGGCGGATTAAAAAAAACTGCACGCGAGATTTGGCACAGGTGAATTACCCAAACTACAGAGTAGACCGGATTATAATGGGGTTTTTCCCCTTTTTTCTGGCAACAAAACTGAAACCTTTTTTCACAAGGATTCATGTCTGCATTAACCACAATACCTGCAGTCAAATGCAAACAAAAAACATACTATGATAATATGAAAATCCCTATTACAATTTTGGTACTGGCAAAGGAGGTCTAAATGATGTAGACCGGATTACTTCCACATGTGGCAGAGGCAATGTTGGCCAGGAGGGGATGAAACTTTTGCACGAAATTCAAAAGCGGTCAGAAGTTGCGCCACATGCCTGCCGAAAAAGGAGGCGATTAACATTTGATACCACATCGATGTGGTGTGCAGAGTTAATGAGCATGTGCCACGAGTATACTGGACGCCTTTCCCCCAGAGCGGTGTTAACTAAACGGGTCGAGATGATAATATGAATGCGCTCGACCTTTGAAGCAAGGCATGGGATCAGCTGGGACGGGCGACTGCATGAACAGCTGGCGCTGTAGGCAATCGGGAGACGACTCGAGCAGGAATGCCACGGTTCTAGACACGCTTTTAACTCACTTAAATGCTCCCAGGTTAAACTCACACTGCCAATAATGGAAACATTGGCGTCAAGCCAAAAAACGCGTGAGAAAGACCCTCATTGAGCAGTGGACTGTACGCGTACATGGTTAGCAAAAGGTACGATCCCAAATAAATACGACCAAAAATGGGATGATAAAATGGAGGGACTCGTCGATGTGAAAGTGAAAAATACGTCTCACCTGGATCAGACTCTTGCCCTTATCCCCGTTCAGGAAGCTCCTGAATTTCTCTTTCTTCAGACAATCTTTGACAGCGTTGTCGTGGGCGAGCTCATTGAAGGTGGACAGGAGCTTCAGGGTGGCTGCATGGAGGTCGCTCATCTTGGCAGAGGAAGACGCACGGTCGAGTCGGTACGCGAGAGGAATCTGCGAGGACACGAGACAGCCACAACGAGTCTTCAAAAAAAAAAAAATCACGTTAAGACAACGCACACTGCACCTCAAATGTGACGAACCGAAAAAAAAAACGACCGAAACATCGCGTAGAGCCCCAGCTTTGTTCCAAACACAATTCGTGTTGGGTCTAAACCTCAGCCAGCGCTGCGCACTGCTCCCATCGAACCGAGGCAAAACACCCACGCGTCACAGAGATCCCCACAGCACACGGCATCTTCCACAACACAGCAGCTGCGCAAAGACCTGAGAGCGACTTCTGCAACTTAAACAACAACAACGCCTGCTGCAGCCTCCGTCGCGGCTTTTATGAAGCGCGTCCAGTAGCGTCACCACTCACACCTGCTCGCTCTCGTTGCGCGATTGAGTGATGATTATGTTGTTGATTGGTCCCGTTCATCCGGTTTCCCGGCTAATGCGCAAGTTGAGGTCTGAGCACAGAAGCAGCAACAACATCAACAGACGATTAACTGGGAGGCGCGTGCCAAGCGGGCCCCAACATTGTCATCAAGCGGGCGCTTGATGGAGGGTGAGTGGAGGAGTTTGCACGGGGACGATTTAAATTAAATCTACATTCATAGTTCACAGTTTATTTATTTGGTATAGCCCTGTGAGCCATTCGGCTCTTGAAATCGGGTGCAACCTCAACAAACAAAAAACATGAACAAGAAAACATCTTAAAGTGATTATGTGTGACTGTGCAAAACAGAAAATCCAGGAAAAAAAACAATCAAAATATTCCTGAAATATCACCGTACACCAACGCTGTGTGCAAAAATCCCAGTGGGATGCAAGTCAAACAATAACAACAACAACAACAACCACAAGAAAACTAAGATTTAGGCCATTCGTCACTCGCAGCCGACACCACAACCCCTGCTGTGATAATTGTACGTAATTGAGATGCCCGCGTGATCACTTAATGATTTCACTGATATGTACATTATATGTACGTGGATCTGCCGTGGTGCCAAGGTTTGCTCACTGGATGTGTTATGCAGAGGTCTTCGGCTTGAACTCCCCGGGCGGAAGTTAAACCCTTGCCCACCCAGCATTTTAAAGAGGTACACCACATCTTGATTTGAAGCTTTCGTGACTGCAGGAATCCATACTGTTTGGTTCTTTCGGTAAAGTCACGTAGGTAGAAAAAACAATATTATATAATATATATTTTACCTACGTGGCTTTACCTAAAGAACCAAAGAGTTTCGATAGACCACGGGTATATGATCAGTATGTTTTGACAGCAGTCGCCTGACCAACATTTTGCCACCTCCTGTATATCAGAGCAGGTGATGTGAACTGAGATTATTGTTAACGGATAATTGATGACAATGTGTGGACTGCGTCAAACTGTGTTCAACAATGAGAACACGTGCCACGTGCCCCTATTAGAACTACGAACGACCATAATAGAGGGCAGCTTGATCGTGATTGGTGGAGTTAGGGGCCGTCCATAAATGACGTCACGCGATTTTGGACGATTTTTGACCCCCCCCCGCCCGCCTTCGTCACACGGCGTCACAAAAAGTTAGACCCCCCCTCAAATGCTTCAAATCGCTTTAAACTATTGTCATTGTAGTGCGTATTTCATGTGGCGCTGCACTCTGATGTTGTAGGAGAAAACACGTATTAAAGTCTAATTAAGTAGAACGTGTTGTCTATATTTATTTCAAGTTGCGCATTTTGATGTGACGTCACATTTCTCAAACCCCCACCTCCCCCTCGTCACACATCGTCACAAATGTCTGCCCCACCCCCCCCGGCCCCCCCAGGTGCGTGACGTCATTTATGGACGGCCCCTTAGCCGCTGGGATGCCGTCACAGGCGGCAAGACTCGTGTTGCCCCCGCGGGGCTGAGAAAAGAACAGAGCCCTGATTAATATTTAGCTTGGCAAAAGGTTGTATATCACTCGTTCATAAAGCCTGCCTTCGCTAGGAAAACGTTTTCAATAATAATTAACCTGATGACGGACGCGTGTGTTGCGCCCGAAACGTCGTGTTTTTTTTATTATGTTTTTCTATATACGTGACTTTACCGAAAGAACCAGAGTAATAATTTAACCTCATGTTGATTGACAATTTTTTTTATCTACGATCAGACACTGAGGGAACGCTGATATCTTTTACGTTTTTTTTATTAATCAGATTTGAACGTCTTAAAATGCGTATTTTTTTTCGTTCAAAACCACTCGAATCTGAAATATCTCAAAAGCAATAAAAGGTAGGACAATGGTTCTCCCTTTCATTTTATTTGATGTTTAACGCTCTATGAAACTAACAAAACACCCCAGAATCTTATATTTTGAATAGATTCTGTATGACACGCACAAACATGTTTTAGGGCACTTCAAATCGAGATTTGGGGGCCTTAAAATGAAAAATCTCGGATTTTCAGATGTTTCCTATCGTCTTAAAAGCTACCTATGCACCCTAGAAGTTTTTTGACAGAGATCAAGGTCTTTATATAGATGTGTTTTGTATTCTCTTAAATATTATCAGTATACATTGGTTTTATTCGGAATAAAGTCTTACCAAACTCAATTGTATTAGAGATGCATTAATGGAAGAGTGCTTGCACATCACATTACGACTGTTATAATAATTTCAATTGAAGGCGTCACGAGTAAAATTCACATTGATGCGTTCCTTCGCCCAACCGTTATTGTAAGAGGAATAGGGAAGCTGTCGAGGTAATTGTCAAGTGTTTTATTAATTTATCTTTTTCGCTTCAATTTAATTACCGAGTTTCCTTAATTGTAATTCCTCTTTTTAGGCATTGCATTATAATTGAGAAGTCGTGTTAGGTACAACTTTCAATAGGCGTTACACCACATGCAGCTATCGCTCAATAATTAAAGATTTAAGTTAATGTGAAATATTCAGTCCTGCGGGATGAAAGTCATTTGGTTTGAATGAAGCGGACATCCACTTCTCTGGCCACATTCCCACAATAAATTAAGTGAAGGCCATTCCCCCCAACATGTTTCGGAAGTCATCTATAAACAATTCGCACGTGTCCAACCGTCCCTTTCCGAAGTTCATATTTGATCTGCTTGAGGGAAACATGCATAACACCAAACAGGACTTTTAGGGTAGTCTGTGAAACGTCCAAGATGCAAAACTTTCCTTTAAATATGCCAAAACCGTGGAAAAGTGCAACCAATCGAATGCAACCCCCTTCCCCAGCATTTAAAGTAATTTTTTGGGGGGGGGAGGTAATACTTAGATTAACAATAACACCACGTACAGATCACTGAAAGCATCGCTGTCGATAAATATTACGTATGCAAAGGCTGGGTTGCCGTTGTAGAAGAATGTGCACCAAATCCAGTTCACTTGCCAATCAAAAGTATACACTCCCTGCGAATTTGCGTGGGATGAAACAGAGGCATGAAAATGAAGAGTGCAGCCCCATCATACGTCGCGTAGTTTGTCGCAACTTTATTCATCCTTCCGGTTGTGAAACCACAGAACTGCAAGCAGGAAACAGATTCCTGGCACGCTCCATATCGCAAGATTATTCCCTGGTGGTTGTCCCATTGTGGCCATCGCAAATGGCAGTGCAGCAAGACAGAGGTCGTTTTTATACCCAGAGTAGAAAGTCGCAAGGAAGCCACATCGGATGCAACCACAATGTTTATTTCACAGCATCCGTATCATGCACGAGACGCGTTACTCTTTGAATGCGCACAGCGCGTGGGTCCTGCCATTCTGCTCGTGGTGCGCTCGGAAGTTGGGGTGGCAGCAGAATTTCAAGGCCGCGATCGTGATCACGAACTCGAGTAAGTCGACTTCCCCATCTTTGTCATCGCCAAGGTCCCTCAGGATGCGGCTCACCACGAACCCATCCACGGGATTCTGAAACGGAATCACGACAGTGAGCGTTAGACAAGACTGGAACAGGACCGACTGCTAAAACTGCGGAACACGGGTAAAATCTACAGCAATCAAGTGAGACACGGTTTAATTTTATGCCAACGCAGGTAAGTCTAGCACGTTGATTAACAAAGCCAACCACAATAATATGTACTGCAGTCTCGGAATTAAACATGAACCATTCGAGTCTATAAGACTACATTAATCCCCTACTGGTATTCGCCCCGGATTAGGCCCAATCATAAATCATCCTGCAGGCCGAAACACCACTTGGCACAATTATGGCCATCGCCTCAAAAGGCGATTAAAAAGCAATCACCATCGAGACGTCGTACTCGATAGTACATGGTTGCGAGCTCTCCAACACACCGGTGTGCTAAAGTAGCAACTGATCGGCACGCTTTACGTAACACCCCTCAACAATTTGGCCGTGTCCAGTTTAACAGGCATTTGTATTTGCGTGGGCCAATCCAGAAACCTTCATTATGCAGAAAACGGAGATTAGAGGGGTACAAGCCCAAAAGACAAAACCGGAGACTCAAATGGGATCATGAACATAGGGACTGGTCCAGACGAATATCAAAAGCCACGTCTCACCTGGATCAGACTCTTGCCCTTATCCCCCTTGAGGAAGCTCCTGAACTTCTCCTTCTTCAGACAATCTTTAACCGCGTTGTCGCGGGCGAGCTCATTGAAGGTGGACAGGAGCTTCAGGGTGGCTGCATGGAGGTCGCTCATCCTGGCAGAGGAAGACGCACGGTCGAGTCGGTACGCGAGAGGAATCTGAGAGGGGATGGAAAAAAAAGACAGATTTCAGCCACGTGAAAAAGCGCACGGCGCCTCATTTTACGCACCACAAAGCGATTAGCTACAAAATGACCTTAAAAAGGTCTGACAACCATCACGTAGCGCAAACCTTTCTTCCCGAGCCAATTTGCCCCGTCGGGCCTCGGCCTTAGCCAGAACTGAGCACTACTCTTCCCCCAAGCACAGGCAACCCCCACGCGTTGCAGTGATTCGCGTTACGCAAGGCACCTCCCGCAACAGCCGCAGCGGTCTCTGCCGTACAGAGACCTGAGAGCGACGCCACCACTCACACCTGCTCGCTCTCGTTGCGCGATCGAGTGACGAGTTTGTTTGATTTGCTCCCCTCTAGCCAGTTTTCCGGCTCATTGGCAAGGCAAGTCCGTGATGCGTGAGCCGAGCGGCAACTACATCGGTAGGCGATGAACTTGGAGGCGCGTGCCACGTGGCCCCAACATTGCCATCAAGCAGACGCTTCGTAAGAGGAGTTTGCACGGAGACGAATTCATTGAAATCTACATCGTCGCTCGCAGCCGACACCGCAAACCCCTGCTGTGATAATTTTACGTAAATTAGATGCCCGAGTTGTCGCTTCAGGATTTGACTGATATGGACATGCGTGGGCCTGCTGTGGTGTCGTGGTTTGCTCACTGGATGTGTAGTGCAGAGGGCTTCTGTTTGACCTCCTCGAGTGGCAGTTGAACCTCTGCAAAGATGTACAGCACAGGTATTTTATCTTTTGATTTAAAGCTTTCGTGACTGCAGGGATTCATAGGCTTGGTTCTTTCGGTAAAGGCACGCAGAAGGGAAACAATAAAATAATAAAAAATATTTTTTTATTATTCATATTCTTGGTTCTTTCGGTAGTCACGTAGAAGGGAAACAATAAAATAATAAAAACATTTTGTATTATTAATAAATATTTGATTAATAAAAATATGTATTATTATTAAAAAATATATTTTTTATTATTAATAAACATTTATTATGAATAAAAATATTTCCATTATTTTAATAATATTAAAATATTATTAAAATATTATTAAAATAATGAAAAAATATTTTTATTGTTTGCCTTCTATGTGAATTTCCCGAAAGAACCAAGAATAGGTATTTTATCATCATGTTTTGCCAGCAGTGGCTTAACCACCATTTGCCAGCAGTAAGCTTGACCAAGTAATTACAAGCATGTATGTGTGTGTGCTTTACACCTCCTGTATCTCAGAGCGGGGAATATGACCTGAGATTATTAATACTGATCATTTTTGACGGTGTTCGATTGGGTCAAACTGTGTTTAACGACAAGAACACGCGCCCCTAGTAACACGACTCACTCTTCATTGAGCGCAGTCTGATCGTGATTGCTGCAGTTTGGGGCCGTCCATAAATGACGTCACGCGATTCTGGACGATTTTTGACCCCCCCCTCCCATCGTCACACGGCGTCACAAAAAGTCAGACCCCCCCCCCCCTCAAATATGACGTCACAACGCTCTCCCCCCCCCCCCGAAAAATAAAACATGCTTCAAATCGCTTTAAACTATTGTCATTGTAGTGCGTATTTAGTGTGGCGCTACACTCTGACGTTGAGCATGTTGATGTGACGTCACATTTCTCAACACCCCCCCCCCCCTCCGGATTGCTCGTTGCTTGGCAGAGGGTTTTTATAACATCATTGGTGTTTTAAATTTTTCCTGAATATAATCGGGTTATGTTATGGCGATTGTGTTTTTACGCAATACACATTGTCTTAAATTATTAGTTTTAATAACCTCAGTTCATATTCCCCTGGTCTGACATGCAGGAAGTGTAAGGTAAAGATGCAGCCTTGTACCTACCTGGTCAAGCCACTGCTGGTAACACACACACTGATCAAATACTTGTGGTGTGCCGCGTTACAATGCTGAGTGGGCATTGATTCATCTGGGAGATCAAACCGAAGACCTCTGCATTCCACATCCAGTGAGCAAACCACGACACCACTGCCGGCCCACGTGCGTACTTCAGTATCAATCAAAATTCTGAAGTGAAAATGCGGGCATCTCATTTATTGGTAATTTTAGTCACCGCAGAGGCTGTGGTCTTGGCTGCCAGTGACGATGTCTCCGGGCAAACTCCTCCACTCCTCCCTCCATCAATCGCCCCGCTCGATGACAATGGCGGGGCCCGCGAGGTACGCGCCTCCCAGTTCATTGTCTTTATAGTTCATTGTTTTTATAGTTCATTGTCTTTATAGTTCATTGTCTTTATAGTTCATTGTCTTCATAGTTAATTGTATTTATAGTTCATTGTCTTTATAGTTCATTGTCTTTATAGTTCATTGTCTTTATATATAGTTCATTGTCTTTATATATAGTTCATTGTCTTTATATATAGTTCATTGTCTTTATAGTTCATTGTCTTTATAGTTCATTGTCTTTATATAGTTCATTGTCTTTATAGTTCATTGTTTTTATAGTTCATTGTCTTTATAGTTCATTGTCTTTATAGTTCATTGTCTTTATAGTTCATTGTCTTTATATATATAGTTCATTGTCTTTATAGTGCATAGCCTTTATAGTTAATTGTCTTTATAGTTCATTGTCTTTATAATTCATTGTCTTTATATAGTTCATTGTCTTTATAGTTCATTGTCTTTATAGTTCATTGTCTTTATAGTTAATTGTCTTTATATATAATTAATTGTCTTTATAGTTCATTGTCTTTATATATAGTTCATTGTCTTTATAGTTCATTGTCTTTATATATAGTTCATTGTCTTTATATTTCATTGTCTTTATAGTTCATTGTCTTTATATATAGTTCATTGTCTTTATATATAGTTCATTGTCTTTATATATAGTTCATTGTCTTTATAGTTCATTGCCTTTATAGTTCATTGTCTTTATAGTTCATTGTCTTTATAATTCATTGTCTTTATATAGTTCATTGTCTTTATAGTTCATTGTCTTTATAGTTCATTGTCTTTATAGTTCATTGTCTTTATAATTCATTGTCTTTATATAGTTCATTGTCTTTATAGTTCATGGTCTTTATATATAGTTCATTGTCTTTATAGTTAATTGTCTTTATATATAGGTCATTGTCTTTATAGTTAATTGTCTTTATAGTTCATTGTCTTTATAGTTCATTGTCTTTATAGTTCATTGTCTTTATAGTTCATTGTCTTTATAGTTCATTGCCTTTATAGTTCATTGTCTTTATAGTTCATTGTCTTTATAGTTCATTGTCTTTATAGTTCATTGTCTTGATAGTTCATTGTCTTTATAATTCATTGTCTTTATAGTTCATTGTCTTTATAGTTCATTGTCTTTATAGTTCATTGTCTTTATAGTTCATTGTCTTTATAGTTCATTGCCTTTATAGTTCATTGTCTTTATAGTTCATTGTCTTTATAGTTCATTGTCTTTATAGTTCATTGTCTTTATATATAGCTCATTGTCTTTATATATAGTTCATTGTCTTTATATACAGTTTATTCTCTGTTGATATTGTTGTTGTTGCCGCTGTGCTCACGCATCACGGACTTCCCCTTGTAAACGAGCCGGGTAACTGGCTGGACGGGACCAAATCAAATGAACTCATCACTCGATCGCCCAATGAGAGCGAGCAGGTGTGAGTGGTGACGTCAGTGGCCCAGCTTTCGTTAAAGCCGCGACGTGGGCAGCAGAGGGTGTTAGTGCATCTGCCCACGTCGCTTTCAGGTGGTTGTGCAGCTGCTAACCGCGTCTGTGTTGGGGGAATACGCCTTGTGTAGTTGGGGAGCTTTGCCAGGCGTGGGGTTTTACTCGGGTTCGGTGAGATCGGTGCGCATCTCTGGCTGAGGATCGGGACAAATTGGTGCTTTTGTGGTTCAGCACATTGGTGCGTGAGGTGCCGCGTGTTTTTATTGTCCTCACGGGAGTAAAAGCCTGTGTCGTGTGTTCTCAGATATCCTCTCGCGTACCGACTCGACCGCGCGTCTTCCTCTGCCAGGATGAGCGACCTCCATGCAGCCACCCTGAAGCTCCTGTCCACCTTCAATGAGCTCACCAGCGACAACGCGGTTAAAGATTGTCTGAAGAAGGAGAAGTTCAGGAGCTTCCTGAACGGGGATAAGGGCAAGAGTCTGATCCAGGTGAGGCCGTGGCTTTTGATATTCGCATGGACGAGTCCCTCTGTTAATCGTCACATCTTGAGTCTTCGGTTTCATCTTTTTGAGCTTTGTGTCTTCGAATCTCCGTTCAGCATAAAGTTTTTTTTGGGGTTTGATCGCGTAAATATGTATCTGTCGTTTCAATCTTACACGGCCAATTAAATGTTTTTGTCGTAACCAAAACGTGCCAATTGCTACAGCACACCTAATGTGATGGAGAGCAAACTCAAAACATTTACAAATTAGTTTTTTTTTGCTGGCGATTACAAATCGGCTTCATCAGGCTATAGCCATAATTGTAAGGGGGTAAAAGTGGTGGCATCACTGAGCCTATCTGATGTGAAAACTAGAGGTGGCTTAATGTAGTCTAAGTGAATGCATCATGTTTAACGATAATGCAGTACCTTATGGCTTGGCTTGGTCCGTTTTAAGAAACGCGCAGAAGAATATATGTACATAACTGGATTTTTACCCTTTTATCTGGCAACAAAACTGACCTTTTTTTTACAAGGAGTCATGTTTACATTGACCACAATACCTGCGGTCGGAACGCAAACAAAAAAACAACTCTGATAATGTATGTGGCACTGTCCTTGAAATTGATTGGTCCACACCCGAGACAGCTTTCTTTAGAGCCTCGTCTCACATGGTGTTGGACTAGAAGACGCCAAAAGACGCACAACTCAAAGACAATGCACCATCAGAGTATGAGAGCTCGGGGTAAGCATTTACACCATTGGAAACCTCATTTGCCAGTAACAAAATATGATAATTGGTTTTTTACCCTTTTATCTGGCAACAAAACTGACACTTTTTTAAAAAAGGTGTCTTTAAAAAAAAGGTGACAGTTTTGTTGCCAGCTAAAAGGATAAAAAAAACAATTATCATTTTGTTACTGGCAAATGAGGTTTCCAATGGAATATATGTACATGTTTCTGAGAATATGCAATATATTATTGGCTGCTCACCGTTAACTTGCAATGAAATTACCTGCATCGGCATTTGAAATTAAACCGTATGTGCGAATTGCTTTGTGCTGTAGATTTTGCCCATGGTCTGCAGTCTTTGCTAGTCTGTCACTCCAGTTCAGTGGTTTCTCGCAATTCTTGCTGATGTGATTCCATTCAGAATCCCGTGGATGGGTTCGTGGTGAGCCGCATCCTGAGGGACCTTGGTGATGACAAAGATGGGGAAGTCGACTTCCTCGAGTTCGTGATCACGATCGCGGCCTTGAAATTCTGCTGCCACCCCAACTTCCGAGCGCACCACGAGCGGAATGGCAGGACCCACGCGCTGTGCGCATTCAAAGTCTAACGCGTCTCGTGCATGATACGGATGCTGTGAAATAAACATTGTGATTGCATCAACGTGGCGTGCTCGTGACTTGGTACTTTGGGTATGGCAACTACCACGGTGGTCTCGCTGCACTACATTAGCAATGGGGTTGATCTAGTTTAAGTCTTTCGCAACCAATGGTATTCGTAATAAAGGTTTTTGGGTTGCATCGCGTGATTTATAAATGTGTCGTAACCCTCCGCCACCCGACACGGCCTAACAGTAAATGTCGCGTTTACAAAAGACGAATGGTTCACTTTCTTCAGCCCACCGGTGTGTTGAAGCGTGAATCAACATCATTTAAAATGGTTAGTACGACGTTTTGCCGGTAATTGCATCCAGCATCGTCGGACCACTTGGCAGAATGGTGAGGCCCTCCACTTGCTCCCGGTCTTAAATAGAGCAGCAGGGTGACGTCATCTTTTAACTCGATCTGGTGCAGTGATTTGAGGGGGTCGAGCTACTCGGGTTCCACGAATACGTTTAGTCCATGGTTTGGCTGATTTTATTCCAAGCGGTTGCGGAGGCAGTCTCGCTCCTGGCACTTGCTGAACAACGTTTTGCCTCTATCCAATTAATGGTCTTTCAAGACTAAATGAGAACTGGAAGAGCCCCCCCGGGGAATAAGGGTTTGGATACGAGCAACAGGTGAGGCCAAATGATCTTAACAAGGTTTGCAATGTATTTCGGCAAAGAAAGGTCTGAAAAAAGATACCACGTTGTCTACATTGTGTGTTTATTACAGAACGGGTGAGATGACATTCAACATTTACAATCCAATCGGCAACAATCGTGGAGAGGAACATGTTCGCAGGCTCGGCCTTGTTCGGCCATCTTACTAAGGGAGGGATATCCTGTCATGGACTGCAATTTGCATTATTTTAGCATGATTGTACCACAACCATAGGCAACAGAACACACAAATACCAGCATAATATACACGCGAAATGGTGTATTATGAGGTAGACAGAAAAAGATAGCAAGTATCCCAGCAAGCTTTACTAGTTAATATAACACCGCTCTTTGTTCGGCGTGATGTTCAATGTTTCACTCCATTGTGCTCGGAGTTTATTAAGGATCTCAAACTCGGTTTCTGAAGAGCCCAGCAGGTGGAGCGAACAACGCATGACCCTATCGCCATTGTTTGCAGAGGTTCGTGGTGCAAATTCAGCAAGTTGTCTTGGTTATTCATGTGGGTGCATTAACTATAAAAATACGATTGCCTTTTTTTATTACCCGCAAATTACTCAATTTAATAACACCTAGCATGTTTCGAATATATTGTAATTCATTTAAACATTTCAAAACGCCAGCAAGTCAAGGCATTACAGTAATCCAAACTTGATAAACAATAAAGGCATGCACCAGCCTCTCGGCATTAGAAAGGGACAGCAATTGATCTTGCTCGAGCTATGTTGCGTATAAATGAACACATTCCTGCGGAGGGAGCTGGTAGGAACGTTGGGTTGCTCGGTCAATGGCAAGGGTCAACGGCGGCACCACCACGTGGTGTATTCCGCAAATATGCCCGACTGAGGGTGGGCACAAGCCGGCGTGAGTAGGTTAAACGTTGAGTTTTATAAGGGCACCACGGGGTGACCAGCCCCTCCCCACCCAGCCCCACCCCCCACCCAGCCCTCCCCACCCAGCCCCACCCCCCACCCAGCCCCTCCCCACCCAGCCCCACCCCCACCCAGCCCCACCCTCCCCACCCTCCCCCACCCGCCCCACCCCTCTCCACCCCGCCCACCCCTCCCATTTTATCCGGGTGTCCGGATGCACGTGGACAGACATCCACAGACATACACGATTAATCCCCTGCCTCCTGTGAATGAATCCCGGTTGGGCTTCCAGTCCACTACGTTTCCTACCAGTATTATTATTTTTCAGTCCGCCCCACTCGTGATCCCGACAGCAACGCGCCGCCCGCCCAGACTCGCGACAACAAGCGCCACCAGCAGGCGGCGATCAACACGATGGGTGCCACCCCACCGGCCAAACGCAAGCCCCCGGGGGGCGTCCGCCGCAGTCGCGCGCGGCGACGACGCCCTCCGGTCAGCCGTCGATCCTTGGCTTCTTTGCCAAGGCGAGCCCCGCCCCCCCAGGCAGTGAATTTAACGTGTTTGTGTAATTTTTCAACTTTTTACGAAACTTAGTGTCCCCGAGTAGCTCTCGACGAGGCCAATCGATTGACCACTAGTTTTGTTGTTGTCGGTAAGGCAAAACTCGTGTCGCTACGCGGTTTTTCCCACCCCGGGGCAGTGATGGGACCCCGGGGTCCCGCCAATTGCTTCAATCGATGTGGAGAGCCCCAACGACTTAATCTGTCTTCTCACAAATTAGTTTAAGAAAGTTTAGGTTGCATCCACAACTCGACCTCGGCAAGACAATGTGATAGTACGGAAACTGCGACTTTGGTATCAATCAGAGTCTCAAGATAAATCTGTGAATCGGCATAAAAGTTCAAATGTACAGCAGGCGGTGAAGTTGCTGTTTGTAATCCCAATTGAGTAATATGCAGGTAATATTTCAGCATTTGGATGTTTGGCCAATATCGCTTACACTTCTTTTTTTTTAGCTATGGGAGTAAACCGGAGGAAAATCATGCTGAACAGGGGGAGAATAAACAAACTCCTTTTAGTATGATGCCTGAGTTGGGAATTAAAACCACGCTATTCTTGCTATGAGGCACAGGCGTTACCACTGCTTAACTCTACCACCATACCAGTATACAAGCCAGAGACTATTTAAGCTTCTAATGTTAAACGTAGTGTTTGTTTTATGCATAAAGGCCAATGTACACTATACATTTCCATTGCAGTGAATGGGGATGCAATCACATTGCACGGTTTGCACCAGATTCGAATCCATCGATTGCAAGAAATCCAGGTGAAATGCTATACCACTGAGGACGATGCATGTGAGTGCAATACTGTCGCATAAGGATAGAAACACATGCATACGTACATACACACAAAACAAATATTCCATTGTAGTCTTCAACAGTCTGTTGGGGGGGAAAAGCTAAAGCTGTTAGGGGGCACCTACGATGACCAGCATACGACACGTGGGGGTGGTGTGGATTGTACCAAACATGGCCATGTGACGTTTGCACACTACACCAGGTACAGATTAAATGGTGATTTGATCTAGTGGAGGCCCATAACCAGTTCAGATATTCATCAGTGATATTTGGTCTGTGAGCAGGAATCAACCTCACTCGCCGGGGGTTCATAGTGCAGTGCGTTAACCACTACACTACCGCTCCCCACATGCACACGCAACATGCAAACACGTACGTACGTTGACTCGCGCATACACGCATATTGCACATGCACACAGCAACACGCGTACACGTATGGAGCGTGACTGCAATGCTGTCGAAAGTAATGCAAACGATAGTGCTCGATAGGCTTGCAATTCATCAAGTGCACAGAAATTGCACGGTGTATTACATTAGGTACGGAAGTTAATGGCAAGATTCAAATAAGTCGCTCTTGCACAAGGGACCATCTTGGTCTTACGCGTTCTCACCTGGTTCAACGGATAAACTTAAACCATTGATAAAAGTGGCTAGGACACGTCACTAGATGGGATGATGGGAGGTAGAAGAGTGCGTAGAGGGGAGTCGAGCAATACAAGAGGGGAAGATGTAGACGGGGGTGAGTTCGTGGAGGATCTTAAAAGTCGGTGAGAGCGATCGTTAAATTGTTCTGGGATTGGATTGGGAGACAGTCGAACGGCGGAAGTATAGAAGTCACTTGGTTCCGTTTACGGTTGCCGATGACAGCTGTTACCCATGGAATCTTCACGACTCAGGGCCGTTGCAGGCTTGTGCAGCAGGGCGATGTTAGGGGCTGGACAGTCCACCGTGTTTGGTGAAGGGTGCATCACGGTCGGGATTATTAACCAGCGATGAAAGAGTCTGTACGACCACAAGGCAGACACACGCATGCACCAGAACAAGCGCACCGTTAATTTACAACGAGCCGACGAGCCAGCTCAAACCGCCCTCGTTATGCAATAAGTGTAGCAGCACCGGGAGTGGGAGTCAAACCGTTGCCTCCTGACCACCGCCCTCCTGGTTGTACTGGCCGAGCGACTCAGCCCAGACATCGGGGATCTTCAGTGCTGGTCGCGGCTGCCGGCAGAAGCAGCAGTAGAGAACTCCTGTGAGAGACGCGGAACATTAATTCAGCAGTCGCTCACCGGCGGTCACTCGCCTCCTCATCCTCAATTGCTGTGACACCTGTGTCACGTGAACCGTAAAATATTGATTTCTCCACCCGTGTTGAGGACTCCGTCTGCCAGACTGAATATTTCGCCTCATCCACCACTCTGTCCAACCACCACACTGCAGGTCTAAAACAACGCACTGACTCACCCAGTTACTTGCTCAACCGAAGAAGGAAGATCCCCCCCCCCCCCATATTCTGTGGTTCTTCTGATATTGTTTTCTCCGAGACCAGGGTGCTCTGCAAGCCGTCTGGCGACCATCAGAGATTTGTTCATGAAGCCATCCAGATATATAAACATTAGACGTAACTTCAACCGAGATGATGGATACAAATTGAGCATTCATTGGAAAGATGTTATTAAATTTCGATTTAAAGCTTTCGTGACTGCAAGGATTAATCTTCTTTGGTTCTTTCGGTAAAGTCACGTAGAATGAGAATAAAATAAAACAAAATTCTCACGACGTTTCGGCCACAACACAAGTGGCCTTCTTCAGGTGAAAGGAACACCTGAAGAAGGCCACTTGTCGTCCCGACAGGTTTGTTCCTTTCACCTGAAGAAGGCCACTTGTGTTGTGGCCGAAACGTCGTGAGAATTTTATTGTTTTATTTTATTATTTTATTCTCATTCTACGTGACTTTACCGAAAGAACCAAAGAAGAAGATGTTATTAACCAAGTAAAATGTAACTGTTCACAGTTGCCCCATCTTATTTACCGGGTACTCGTCTGTTTTACCGAGTTAATTGCATCCTCGGCGTTTAGCAGTATTTTGCTGTGGGTGCCATCATCTCTCTTGGCAGCAATCGTGTCGCTTCTTTGCTCTCAGCGTCCCTGCAAAACTCGTCCTTCCTCTCCTCATTCGCCCCCTCCCTTTCCCCCCCCCACCCTACACACTCCCCCTTTCTGACTTATTTAACTGCCCTAACTCTGGCATCTCTCCACTTCAGTAAAAACAAAAGTTCTTGCTGTGGTTGTCACACCTGATGATGATGATGATTGCTTGTGTTGCAGTCGAAACGTCGTGATTTGATTTATTTTATTTTTTTCACCTACGTGACTTAACCGAAAGAACCAAAGAATATGGATCCTTGCAGTCACGAAAACTTCAAATCGAGAAAGATCCCCACCCCCCCCCCCCCCCCATATAGCCTTAACAGGAGTGTCGGTCAACCACTCGCTCATCGCCCATCCACTCTCACCTACTCTTCCGTGCACTCGCCAAACTGCGGGTCAAAACAACATTCTTCTGCTTCTGCCATGAACACTGCTCCAATTTGGAATCCCTCCCGTTGTCTCTTTCCTCAAGCTCTTACGACGTTGCTCAAATTCAACAAACGTGCGAACGTGTCGATTGCAACTGCCATCGTGCCTTAAAGTCGCTACGAATCTTAACGTCGTTCATTGAAGCTCTGCCGTCCCGACAGGTCTGTTCCTTTCGCCTGAAGACGGCCGCTTGCGTTGTGGCCGAAACGTCGTGAGAATTTGACTGTGTTATTTTATTATTTTATTCTCATTCTACGTGACCTCACCGAGAGGACCAAAGAAGACGCCATCGTGCCGTTTGTTGCTGGCCATTTTGACGTGCCGGGTCTGTGCTCAGCAAACTGCGGTAAATTCGTTCATTTCATGTATAAATATCGTGTTTAGAAATAGTAACGACAATACAAGTTTCCAGCTGCTGCTCACCGAGCAGTAGCAGGGTGAGGATCGGGAACACAATGGCGGCCGCGCCGTCGAATCCGAGGCCCACTGACCCAGCGGGGGTCACGCAACCCGAGCCCTTGAGTAGGCCCAAGCAGTGGCACGCACGCACGGTGATTTGTGTTGCCTCCCCGAGTCCGTCCCGGTCCGTCACCAGCACCGAGAGCTGGTGCACCCCGGGCAGGGGGGCCCTGCCTGAGGGGGTCCCACGTGCCTGCAATCGCGCGTTCGTGGCTTGATAGAGGAAAAGGGGGGACGGGTGGGATGGGGGGGGCGTGCAATGGTGGCGGTAGAGGTATAAAGTAGAAGCAATGGCGGGGGTTAGCAGCAACATGATGGTGATAAAAAAATTAATGTCTTTGAATAAATGACTAACACTGTAATAATTAACTTTGTATGTCTATGGGGCTTATATGCCTCGCACCCATGTTGCCTTCTCATTGACCCCAGCATGGCCATTATGAACCCCCTGATAAAGTCGAAAACTAATTTCTTTAGAACTGCTTTTTATGTTTTGCTTGTCCTTCTCCCCCCCCCCCCCCCCCCCCCCCCCCCCCCCCCCCCCCCCCCCCCCCCCCCCCCCCCCCCCCCCCCCCCCCCCCCCCCCCCCCCCCCCCCCCCCACATCTGATTAGCATGGTTGGATACGTACGGTGCGAAATAAGTTCAACATATGTACAGTAGATACATAACACCTCATATCAAACATTTGAATAGACACCAACAGTGGCAGCTATACTTGTCTGGCACAAGGGGACTCAGCACCGACCTACATGCGAGCATTGGTCTGCCAGTAGGGGTCAATTAGAGCTTCGTGAAATCCCAGTTGAATATTTTCAGTATCATTTTTAGAAGTTGGCAAATTTGGACTGTGACACTGGCACACGATGATCTACTAATTTCAAATTGTCACGAGATTGTGAGCATCCGCGATGAAGTGGGTGGCATGTGTTCCTCGGGTAATATGCCACAGTATTAACCAGAATTGCTGGCCCTTTTTAAACCGAAAACCTCTGCAATGAATGATAAATGTGCTAACATTGGGCTGTGTGACTGCCATAATGACGATTGTTTGAAAATGTGTAATTAGATATCTTTAGGGAGCAATGACATCCGTCTGCTGCGTGAAATATGTTTTCGTGCTCTCTAACTCAGGTCACAAACTCTCGAAATTTTTTTAAAAATGGGGTATTCTTTTGCCGATTTTGGCACATGGCTCATCCTTTCATTAAATTGGTTCTTGAGGTTTATGTGAAATGACGAACACGAATCTTTCAATAAAAATGGCAGTGTGTCATGAACGAAAACAAGCAATTTTATGACAATTCAGCTCACTGTCAAAATGTGTCTCTGGCGAGCAATCAATCAAACAATCCATTAAACATTTTCACTCCACTCTCCAGATCAGGCCATGTACTCTGAAAATACAAACTTGCATATTTGAAAGGGGAAATTGTTTCGAGATATTTTGTACATGGCTCATTTGTGCTACTCTTGTTTATCGAATTATAAGGAAAATTAGAAAGGTAAGCTTTTGTCTGTTTTCCCCAATTTTATCCTGATTGTAGTATCAGCGTCAAGAGACAAATAATCTATTCGCAAATCTTTCAGAGCGCTGCTAAACTTTTGTGTTGGAGAATGGTCTGCGGGAGGGGATATCACTGAGCTACCTCTGAGATCCCTTCTTCAAGTGGCACTCTGGTCCAAACAGAATGGCCCGCTGAAGTGGATATCACAGAGCCACCTCTAAGATCCCTTCTTAATGTTACCCTCACACAGACACAGTAGAGGGGAGAATTATACCCACCCGCTCTGCATATCAGAGTAACGTACAACGCATGACAGACCATTATTTTTAATCCTCAGAGCTGAAACTTTGCCAAGTTTGAGTGCAGAACCACATTAAGTGCCGTTGTAGTGGCTGGCCATGTTACGGTGATGAAGAAGTTGTCATTATAATGAATGTGATTAGTTGACTGGACTTGAAAACTCGGTTTAATCACAGGCAAGTGAAGCCGAGATTTGAACCCAACATCTCAGCGGTGCCAGCTCAAAGCTCTAACCTCTGAGCAACCCGGTAATTTTATTATCCATTTAGCTTTTTCCGTGATCAAATGAGATAACCAACACATGAACCGACTTTCGAAAAATATTTGTTTTCTCCCAAAACTTGTGATGGCGAAAGTCGCAAAAAGACATCGATTCTGCCACCGCTCTTACCATTCAGAGTCACGACCTCCCACAGCTCGTCGATGCCGGGAGGCTTGTTGACCAATTGGAAGATGAAAGGGGGCCCATGAGCAGGCGAGTCAGCATCGATGGCCATGAGGGGAAGACCCTCAGAAGGGCTGGCCAGGCAGAGGTGTGGCGTTGAGGCCCCTGTGGCAAATAGAGGCCCTGCGAGCTTGGGAGCATGGTCGTTGACGTCCACGATGTTCAGAACCACCGTTCCCGTGCAGGTGAAGTCCGGGTGACCTTGAGCAAAAAAAGTTACCATCGTCAGCTTTGATGTGTCCACTTTTGAAAGAAGGCCTTCCCAATCTGTCACCAGCGCTCTCATGATCATGCGATGCAACAATACATCCAGCGCCTGCACCGATCACATCTCTCCATCTCCTTTCTGATGCATTCCATTCCTTGGCTGTCACTCCTTTATTATTCTTGACCCATCGTCCATTATCCTTTCGCGTGACATCTCCTCCAAGGGACATCAACAAAAGTCCAGGAGTGGACGGCAAGCGGAGCAATAATAAAAGTTGGTGGGAAGGAACCGGAAATAAGTCTACGCGCTATGCAAGCAAAAGTATGGAGAGAAGCGAACATACCGGAGGTAGTGGACAACATCCATACTTGTGTAGAGGAGTAAAATGGGGACGTGACGTCATGTGTGCCGTCCAGTGCGATGGCGTCACGGAACGTGACGTCATGCACGCTGGGCGACTCGATGACTTCACGTCTCCTCGAGTATTTAAGGGGGGCCCCGTGACGAAAGCGGGGTCACTGTGGGAACGCGTAGAGTGAGAAAGGTGGAGAGGGAACCAGGGGTAGAGAGGGATCGAGTGGAGAGTCTGGAGAGGAGCCGTGGTAGCCGATTGAGGTGCTTCTCTCTCCGGTCGGTGGAGTTGGCAGAGTCCTCGATCCGCACCGAGAGAGAGAGAGAGAGACCAGAGCTAGCCGGGCTGGGACCAGGACTCACTGTAGGACCCCCTAACCCCTGGGAGTTGTTACACCCTTGTGTTATTGTTAATAACTATAATAAACCTTTGGCGCAAGCCCTTAACCTTCACGTCGTCTCCGAGTCGTCCTGGGAACTCCTCAACACTTGTGACGATATCCAAGAAAGGAGATCTCACCAATTGTAAAAAAATTACAGAACCCTCGCACCGATCAGTTGCATGGCGAAGGTAATGATCGTACTATTATATCGATTCAATGTGGAAGAAGAGGTAGGGTTGAGGAAAAATAGGAAAACAGTACAACAAATATTCTTGGTTCTTTCGGTAAAGTCACGTGACTTTTACCGAAAGAACCAAAAATATGAATCCCTGCAGTCACGAAAGCTTTGAATCAAAAGTACAACAAATGTTAAGGTTTATAGCAGAGAAAGCAAAGAGAAAGAATAGGCCGGTTTACAACTGTCTCATTGATTTCCAGAAAGCATTCGATTCGCCTAAGCAAGATATAACGTGGGCAACATTACGATCGTATGGAGTAGGGAAAAGACTGACACAGATTCTGCAGGATACAGGTGAAAGGTCAAAGACAGTAGTAAAATTGTGACAGGAAATAGGAGAATGGTTCCCAACAAAAACATGTACAGTATGAGACAGGGAGATCCACTGCCACCAAACAACTTCGTCGCAAATTTTGATTTAAAGTTCTCGTGACTGCAGGGATTCATATTCTCGGTTCTTTCGGTAAAGTCACGTAGAAGGGAAACAAAATAATAAAAATATAAAACAATAAAATTCTCACGACGTTTCGACTGCAACACAAGCAATCATCATCAGGTGTGAAAACCACAGCAAGACATTTTTTTAAAAAAATGGCGTTTTTTTTACGTTAGCACCACGGAGAGCGATTTGATTGTTCACGCTTACGGTGACTTTCAGACCGCATCCATTATTTTCGTCTCGCCCCTCCTCTTTTCCGAACATAGATGGACTCGTCCATCTGAATAACTGCCAAATCGCTCTCCGTGGTGCTAACGTTAAAAAAACCCGCCACTTTTTTCAAATATCCGTACATAATTACTTCAAAATTTCCTACCAGTCCCCCTCCACAGGAATGTGTTAGAAAGCAGCAAAATTGTGAATGTAAAAGAAAGCATATACTTGGGAAGTCTACTAACATGGGCAACATAACTAATGGCAGGATCCAATAGCATCTGGAGAAGCAAGCAAATCAGCCACAAGACCAAACCGAACATCTAAAGAACATGCGTGTTCAGTACAGCTTTGTGTGCCTGCGACACTTGGACATTAAAAACGACTGACAGATCAGATAATTGGCACTCGAAATGTATTGCTACAGAAGGATACCGCGTCTGAGCTGGACCAAAAGAGTGACCAACGGTAGAAGCGCGAAAAGGTTGCGCGTCGAGAAAGACCGGACACAGGCATTGATGGGAAGGGAATTGGCACTATTTGGACACTTTGTCGTATGGACAACAACAGAAAGATTAAAAGTGCGTTGTTCGGAAAAAATGGAAGGAACCGGAAAGAGGAGACCTAACAGAGATTTGGCGTGACAACATAAGAGATTTTTGCCAGAAAGGTGCGCACTACTTGAGCATATTGGCACAAGACAGAGGAAGGTGGAAACAAATTGCGAAATGTGCAGTGGACATCTATGGGCTACCTGCCCATAGATCGTGATGATGATATAAAAAAAGATCCCCCGCATAGCCTTAACAGACTGTAGGGGCAAGTGCTGTTAGCGAGCACCTATGAAGGCCGGAACGGTACACGAGGGGGTGGGTGGCCAGCACCATGCCCGACCACCTTTGTCTCCCTAGTGGCGATGTTTACACACCGCACCAGGTACTCATTTGAGGCTGAGTCGACCTAGGGGAGGCCCGGGACCGGTTCAGATAATCGTCACTGGTGTTGGCCGTGAGCGGGAATCGAACCCGGGTCGCCAGGTTCATAGCGCAGCGCGCTAACCGCTACACTCTCGCTCCCCACCGATATATGATATACACACACACACACATGTTGTACTTGACCTTTTGGTTTGCTAATATTTATCCTGAGTCCAATTTGGCGGCCTTCTTTAACGGATTTCTTCTAAGATCATCCCCATTGGATGTGTTAATGATGCGAAGATGCATCACTTAACATTTGTGGGAGATGATGTCACCTGGTGGGAGGAGACGAGGATGAATTCGAGGTGGCGGTTTTGTGGCACCAGATCGTAAGGATACTGTGGCCTCAGGGCTCTAATTATAACTGAATTCCCTTCTGGTCACTGGTAGATTGAAGTCGACTAGTAGCCACAGCCACAGCTAGAGCTATACTGGATGTGGTGTGCTGGGTGTGCAAATCTTTCCCTGGCTGGAATTAAGCCCTGGGTGATATGATGTGTCGCTTTCGAGGGAGGCCAATGTTGGCTTTTGGATGTCTATGACCAAATCACCCTGATTGAGCCAGATCGCACCAGATCTCGGAAGCTAAAGCAGAATCGTGCTGCCTGGATAGCCCTGGGATGAGTGAGCACCTGGATCGATGGCAATGACGGTCACGTTGTACTGCCCATTGCGGTTGTACTCGGGGTCTTCATAGTCCACATTTCCAGCCAAGCTGAGCGCTCCTGTGCGTGGGTCAATCTCCAGCCAGCCGGCCTTGTCTGACACAATCTTATAGCTGGGGGCAACCAGTCCACTCAGAGTTAACATCAGCATGCATCCCCCTGATAGAGACATAGACACAGCTCTAAGTCTTGAACCCACATACCCTTACCACCTGCTTACCATCCCTGATACAGCCATTATGAACCCCCATGAGACATGGAAAATACCAAGCCCCAAGGGTTGAATGATAATTTTTTTTAAATATATATAGCTGAACCCCCTTTGGTCAGGGCCATCTCGGAGTGCTTTAGACATAATACGTGACTTACATCTCATTTCAATACATTGTAAGGGCACCCCCAGTGGCAGCTGTTCATGCAGGGCACAAGGTGACTCAGAACCTCGCCTGCAAGCGGGCATTGGTGTTTTCAGTAGCGGGCACTGATTGTCACGTGTATTCCCATTGATTGTCACGTGTATCCCCATTGATCGTCACGTGTATTCCCATTGAGTAATTTGCCGTGTGCCATATTTGGGCCCTGACGCCTGCACACCAGTGTGTCAACTCAATTTGAATTACATGGGTTCGGCCTGTAACATTGGCTATAAAGCAAACGGGTGTCTGGTATCTTACGCTTGCTACACACACGCCATCACCCTTGCCAGTCACCTGTTACTGGACATCAGTGAAACAGAGCTTCACAGCTCATCGCAGCTTCCACCAGGCTTTCTTTCAATCCTGATTATCGACTTCTCACCATCCCTGACACGGCTATTACAAGCCCCCCCCCCCCACCACCCCCAGCGCAACTTTATGCTTACATAAAGTTGTGCGGTGTCCCAGTGTCGGGGTCCTGTACGGAGAAGACTCCGAGCGGCGATCCCAGCGGCGCCCCCTCGTCGCACTGCACCACGCGCACCGGCGGAACGAAAGCCGCGTCCTCGTTGACGTCCGTGACGTGCACGAGCACCGTGGCTGTGGACGACGATGATGCGACTACGCCGGGCTGGAGCGGCTCCTCGCTGGCCACCGTCACCACGAGAGGGACTGTCTTGTCAGCCGGTGTTATTGCTTCAAAGTTCAGTGGCTGCGGTGGCGAGAAATGTGGGCGGCGTTGAATCGACCAGCTAGGGTTAGCTCATACATCTCCGCGGCCTGGAACTCCTGTACCCCAACTGTCCATGCTGTTGTGCTCCCTTGCCCTCTATCATCTTTCCGCCCTTCTGCCCAACTGTTCAAGTCTCCGCTCAAGGAGGTTTCTGTTTTTGATTCCCTATGGTTTTTGCTGGTTGGACTGTATCGTGATCTGGTTAAAGTGGTGTTGTAAAACCTTCCGCCACCGACACAGTAGCGGGTCTAAACGGGGGCGTTGACCTCTAACCCCCCCGCTCCCTGCCCCCCTATCCCTATGATATATATTTTTATTGTCAAGTAGGACCTTATTTAAAATCTTTACATTTCAAGACAACCCTCACCACCACTTACCCCCAATTGGCCAGACTCGACATCAACCTGTAATTCAACACAGCCAAACAAATTACATAAAATTGTCTGTTTCAGCTCACACCTGTCAGTTGAATGACAATTTTCACAACCAAATTTAGCAGCAATTAGACATGAGTTTAGCTTGAAAATATGACCAGCATTTTCAGGAAGTCTTCTTCTTTGCATTACTGGTGTACCCCGATATGTATTCGATGTATAATGTTCATTGTAATCTAACAGCTTTTTTAGGTTACGTATTGTTTGACTCCCGAGTGGTGATGTCTACACCACCACACCAAGTCCTCATTTGAAGCTGAGTCGACCTCAGAGAGGCCCAAGACCGGTTCAGATAATCATCACTGGGTGTTGGTAGCCATGAGCGATGATTGAACTCGGGTCGCCAGGTTGGTTTTCGTAGCGCACTAACCGCTGCACCACCGCTCCCACTGCACACACACGCACACACAAACCTTGACGACGGACAACACGCCCTGGTTGGTTTTGGCATCGGTGGCAATGGCGAAGTGCCCCGCCTCGTTGCCGCGAGTGACGGTGTAGACGGCGCGCCACGCTGGCAAGCCCGGAGCGTCCGCATCTCGAACGTCCAACACGACCGCCCGGGCCACCAGCTCGTTCTCTCGCACCGTCCCCTCGTACTGCACAGCGAGGAGAGGCGGGGAGGGTGGACGGGGAAAGTTCGAGCCTCCTCTGTGATGGGCTCCACTTACAATCGCCAATTTAATCCCGATTGTGCTGTCAGCATCATCACCGTCGCGAGACAAAGGACGCATTCGGATATCTCGAAGAGCAAAGCGATCCTTCCATTTTGCAGAGCGGCCCACAGGCGTGCATACCCCTTCGAGTAACTTCTAGTTCACACACAGTAGAGAGCAGCACGTTCCCAATTGCTCGGGATACAAGGTTCAAGTTAATTTTGTTTTAACCAGGCGAGAAATCAAAAGAGGCCAGGATAGTCCAATTTACAAGAGAGTGAGATTATGAGAGTGACGTTCATCGCATGACAGTCAATAAATAATCTAATTGTTAAAATTATGAACAAAAAAATAAACTATATTTTATTTTACCAGGTAAGGCCTACTGAGCTACGTAGCTCTTTTTTAGAAGCGCCAATGCAACAAATGATAGTTCAACGAAGTGGCTTAGCACGTGGAAATCTATAGCAGCCAAATACTAAATGTGGAAGGGAAAACCGGAGGACCCGGAGAAAAATACACGCAACTACCAGGAGAACATGCAGACTCTAAATATACAACAGGCGTCAGGGTCAGGATCCCACGACCACTTGTCTACCAAGGCGATGTAGTTAACATCTCGCCACCATGTTCGGCATGTTGATGATGATACTGATACTATTGCTGTGGCTGCCGATGATCACTGTGCGACACTGGGAATTGTGTGCGCGTGAGACAAGACCTTGGGGGAGGTGAACTCTGGGGGGCTGTCGTTCGTGTCCCCCACGATGATGGTCACAGTGGTCGTGGTGCTGAGCCCTTTGGGGGAGCCGTTGCAGTCCCTGGCGTTCACTTCCAGCAGGAACTGACTCACAGCCTGCACACACGCACGCACGCATGTATAATCGTCAACATTGGCGACGGTCACTCCATTGCTGAATGAATGCTTCCACAGGCCACCACCATCTGTCTGCGCACAAACCAATATCGTCATCCTATCTCGCATACAAAGACCGCCTTTATGACCGTGTAGTAACTGTGAATGTCACTGTGTGGTGCCGGCCTTGCGAGGCCACGGCGGATAATGTGTTGTCATTATGTGCAGCCCGGTTACTGGGCGTAGTACCGGCCCTAGCGGGGCTTGGGTGAGCGCTGGCCAGCGCAGAGGCACCACGTACGGTGTGCGGTGCGGGCTCCCGGTGAGGGAGCGAGAGAGAGTGTCAGCCAGCCACGGTTACGTTGGGGCATGATACGCCGGTTGACCTGCCGACACGTGACCGGATGATATTGGAGGGGGGCCACCGGTGGACGGGGGCCGCTGGGTGGTCACGTGGTATAGAGGAGCTCTCGGGAGCCTTCGGGAAAGAGCTCAAGAGATCTAGAAGGTGGGCGGGGTGAGAGGCGGAGCCAGCCCCAGCCCGGGCCGATATAACGGCCCCCATGAGGAGCCCGGGGTTCTTGACTGTTGTTGGAGTGAAGATCCACGTCGGGTTGAAGAAACCTCTAGCCACACGGTCCGGGACCGAGCTCGTGGTCCGGACCGGGATAGCGGGACCATGTCTAGTTGTGCCGTAGCGTGGTTAGATGGGCGTTCAACACCCGAGTGTAGGTTACGTTATGTTGTGTTGAGTTGATGTAATAAATAGTGTTGCTCCCAAGACAACGTCTGCGACTCAGTTGGACTCACTACAACCGTATCAGATGGGTTGGGGCAAGTGCTGTCCGTGAGCACCTATTCAGGCGGCCGGCATGGTGCGCTAACACTTTTTCCCTCCTCCCAGACAGACTAAAAACAACCTGGATGCATCCAAGATCTAAACACTGACATCTGATTGATTATGTGATTCCCCAGGCAGAAAAATGTTACGGAGGTCCTTGTCACCAGGGTGTTGCATGCAGTTGAGGTGGACACAGTGTTCTGGTACACACAAGGGCTGTCTCTTTCGATCCATCCTTAAAATCAAGAAGTCAATGTCAAACCTCCCAAACAAACTCAACATTACCAAACTGGACCAAACTTGAAGAGACAATTACCCAGTTCCAGGAAGCCCTGACAGCACACCAGTGGAGCATATTACTGAGCATTCATCCTTAGATATGGAGGGGGCTATTCGCTGTTCCTCAGGGACTAAGTTCAGGAGGTGTCTGTGAGGGTACTTACAGAGCCGTTCATAGCGGAGGTGCGGGGCTCGAGGCAAATCCCACCATATGGGCCCCCTGACACACCTTCAAACTAAAGTATGACATCTGACACCGTGAGGTTGAAACGCAAGGGCCCAGGGTGGTTGCCCCGATTCGCTGTGCCCTATGGATGGCTTTGGGTACCTGAGATTACCGGGTGCAAGTGCCCACACTGTTTTTTTTTACCAGAATAATGCCACCATTGACAGATTGCACGAGGTATAAAATGGCTGCACGTGCTCACACTCTTGCAGCCCGAGAAATGAAAAAAATGTTGGTGCGACGAAATTGTCAGCAGGTAGATTTTAAGGAACAGAAGCGCTTCTAAGAGTGCAATGGACGGAATATATGGTCCATCGGTGAATGTAGCAGCTTTCCTGAGGTTTAGCAGATGGGTCATATCTTGGCACAGACATCATCAAAACCCTTGATCACCGGAGGAAGCGTGTCTCCATGCTTATGAATGGGTAAATCAATGTCTTGTTAGTGGTGGATTCACCTCTGTCCAGCACGATCAGTGTTGTGATGGTGCTGGTATTGGTGACGACGGAGATTGTAATGACATTATGCTGCCGATGATGGTGGAGGTAGTGATGATGGTGACCGTGGCCTCACCTCTCTGTCCAGTTTTATCAGGGTAGTGATGCTGCCACTGCTCCTGTCGATAGTGAACGCTTTGGGCACGGGTGGTTTCTGGGAGATGATGGTGTATATGATGATGACGTGGTCTGTAGCTGGATCATCTCCATCTGTCGCCTCTATCTTCATCACAGTCGTGCCTGAACAGAAAAAAAACACATTTCCGTGTTTGCGTCATAGCAAACTAAATTCATAATGTCGGTAATCAACTTTAGCCATCAATTGATCATTTATTATCACAATGTAACACCAACAATCTCTTCAATAAATCTGTATCACAAATTCCTTATAGTGCCAATTAATAAAATACAAACCGAGCCTATTCACCAATTAACGCTTAACTAGAATCACAATAAGCATTACAACTCCAGACTCATTATTCACACAATGCACCGTAATATATTTAAGGGTGGCCAATTATCACCAATCACTAAATAGTAGTACACTAAGCTAACCTGCCAATCACAACCAATCAGCTACCAGCAATTAACCGTAGTTATTAAAATGGATGAAAAGATCTTCCACTACATGGAAGATGTGGGACACTTTCTCTATGAATGGAAAATTAACGAGAGTCCAGTTTGTGACTGGTGGTGCAACATCTCGGACCATGCAACATATCGTGAACGGCGATCTGAAACAAATCCACGCGGCTACTTCGGAAGCAATCGAATGGATATCAAAAATCTCGACATCAATTTGTAATCTGCTGCAATCTCCAAAAATGCCATACGAACGAAGAAGAAGATTAAAATGGATCACGTGCGTGACCGTGCAAAGCTGCCAGGGCATCTAATTAAGGGCCAGGATCAGGAAGCTCTGTGATGGGAGAGCTGAGCTCCTGTTAACAAGTTGATGATGCTGGATGTAATCTCCAGTAATACGTCATATAAACACTGTATTGTGACAAAAAAATTGCCTGCTTTTCAACATTCTGGTTTGCTGAAAAACCAAATAAATTTGTATATTTGCCCACATGACAACTTGATTTGATTGGCTTTGTCGGGTCGTGGAGGGTTATAGGATAATAGTCGGCATTATACCTGCACTGTACAACCCAAAATTAACCAATAATGAATCATCATATTGGTCGTGACAGCCTACGGATAAAGTATGCACACTTTGATGTTTTCGTCTTGTGGGTCTGTGGACATTAACTGTGTTAAAATAAGTATCTCCCAATCACATCGCAATAGTGTACCATGGAGCTTGGGCAATTGCTGGTGCTGGTTCTGCCTGCCTTCCTGCTCTCTGCCAAATTCTCCGGCTTTTTTTTATCAAAAATGTGCATGTATACAAATAACACGTTATTATTATTATTGCTGCACTGCACAGTTTGGGCAGTGACATGGCCCAGCAGCAGGCTGTTTTCTACTTGTTGCAGAGGTTCACGATTAGGATCCAGCCAGACATGCTAGTTATTACTGCAGGTGTATCAACTATATACAGTATATAATTTTTTAAATCACAGTGGATCTTCAAACATCCCGTGCCATAATTTGAAACCAGTTGGCCATTTTATAACAGCATTATGGTGGTTCAAATTTGCCAATTTATAAAATATATACCGCATGTTACTCAGGAGGGATGACACACAAAGCAGCAATTATCACCCCCGAAAATGCTTGAAGTGAGATGTAATGCAAGACACCAGTCATATACACCGTAAAGTAGTTTGAGAGACACGAGGGAGGGCGGCTCTTATTGAAAAAAATGTATCATTCTCGTTATCGTTTAATACGCTCACCGGCTGGCTGGTTCTCCAGCACCGTTCCCGTGAAGTTTTTCTCCACAAACTGCGGAGTCTCGTCATTGACGTCGGTCACCATTACCGTTATCTTGGCAGGATTCTCAACTTCCTGGCCCTGCTCGTCGTACGCGTGCACAAACATCTGCCGGAGAAATTAGTTCCGGCGTTAGCACCGTATTGGCTCCCACGGCTACAGACTCGCGTTCGAGCAGATGGATGCTGCCGCGGTGTCATGGGTAGGCGCACTGGGCTTGATGGGCGCTATCCCCGTGGCTACAATCATCTTTCTTCTCCACCCTCCTCCACCTCCGATGCCACCTCCTCCATACACCACCATCCTCGTCACCTCTCCATCTCTGCCCTCCCCCCATCCATCCTCCGCAGAAGATAGCTCAGCACCAGGTCTGCAAGCATGCATCATACTCTTTGGTTGTATTCGGTAAAGTCACGTCGGTAAAAAACAAAACAACAAAATGTCACGACGTTTCGGCCACAACACAAGTGGCCTTCATCAGGTGAAGGGACCAAACTGTCCAGAGGACAGCATTGGAGTGAAGAAAGCCCAGCGCAGGTCGCCTCCTTTAAGCTGTGAGGGGGTAAACAGAAAACGCCTTGACAAAGGAATTAGCATAAAATGTACTACTGTGAAAGCTTGGACATTACACTACCATGAGAGTTTGGAATGCCACTACTTGAATAAATATACTGTACCATTGAAAATTAGTTTAATGTTGGTATGATTTAGAACATCTTTCCAATGATTGCTTAATTTGAAACCATCTTCTCGGTTGAAATTGTCTGTGTTTGTAAATCTGAATTGCCTCGTGGACAAATCTCTGATAAAAACCCGTGGGTTTGCAGAGAACCTTGGAATCGGAGAAAACTATATCGTGATCACCCACAGCGTTGTAACAGTGATCAGCTACGGCAGAAGAATTCATTCTGCCGTGTTTCAAGTCTGATTTGTGCTCGCGAATTCGGTCAGAGACATGTCGTTTCGTCTCCCCAATATAGCAATCACCACAGGTACAGCTCAATTTGTAAACCCCGGGGTACTGTAAGTCAGGAATGACATCCTTCACGGATGGGATCAGGTCACGGATTTTGTGTACTGTATTGAACCGGACCAGGATCTTGTGTTGTTTAGAATTTTGGAGATCTTTTTAGTAACGCCTGCTATATATGGTAGTGTGATGTTTTTGATCGGAGTATCAAGTGGTTGTTTCTGTATGGAGGGAGAAACAGCTTGGCGGATGGTACGGTCAGAGTATCCGTTCCTCTTGAGGGCCAGATGTACATGTTTTAATTCACTGGTCAGGTGGTGTTGGTCCGAAATGCAATAAGCCCTGTGGTATAACGTTTTGATGAGATAATTATTTTGAGTCGGGTGGTGGTGGGAATCAGGTTTCAAGTAGGAATCTGTGTGGGTAGGTTTTCCTGTAGACAGAATGTCCCAATGAGCCATCAGGTCTCCTCTCAAACAGAACATCCAAGAATGGTAACTTGCCATCATTCTCCACTTCCATGGTGAATTTGATGGCGGGATGTCTCGAATTGATGTGGTCTAGGAAAAGGTTCAAAGCTGAGAGGCCATGTGGCCAAATGACGAAAGTGTCGTCTACATATCTCTTCCACAGGGAAGGTCTGAGGGTGGAAGTCTGGATGGCGTCTGATTCAAATTTCTCCATGAAAACATTGTCTATCACTCGTGACAAGGGGGATCCCATGGGGGTACCCTCATTTTGTTTGTAGAAGGTGCCATTCCAAGTAAAGTAGGTATTGTGAGGCAGTGCCTAACCAGCACAGGTGTATCAGGGTCTAGTCCATGTTGGACCACATTTTAAATTATTTTAATGGTATCAGGTACTGGGACCTTGGTGAACAAAGAGACCACATCGAAGCTGACAAGGATATCGTCAGGGGACAGTACAACGTCTTTGACCATAGAGACCAATTGGGCTGAGTTAAGTACTTCTGAGGAGGTCTTGCCAGTGAAAGGCAGCAAGGTATCTGACAGAAAATGGGCTAGTCTATAGGTAGGGGAGTTGATCGTGGATACCATGGGTCGTAGTGGGGTGCCTTCTTTATGAATCTTGGGAAGACCATAGAATCTAGGGGGTCTTGCAGCAGAAGGTTTTAGGGAGGGACGTTTAGTTGGTTCGATTAGGGAGGTCGAACTTGTGATGATCTTGTTGGTTTTTATCGTTAGGCTATTAGTAGGGTCATTTTTATTTATTGAGTAACTTCCATCGTTGAGCAGGTTCTGGATTTTGTTGTTGTATGAATCTTTATCCATAATTACAGTAGCGTTGCCTTTGTCGGCTGAGAGGATGACTATATCATTTCTGTTTTTAAAATTCGCGAGTTCAGAGCGTTCATTTTTGCTGATGTTGCTAATGGGTTTCTTAGCATTCTTAAGAATAGTGGCTATTTCAGCTCTCACAACGTCTGCTTGGATGTGTCCTACGACTTTGAGGGCTACATCGACCTGAGAGATGATATCATCTACAGGTATATGTTTTGGGGTGACAGCAAAATTTAGCCCTCTAGCCAGTACTGTTTTCAGATTGTCCGAAATCGGGGTGCTACTCTGATTAATGACGATTTTGTTAACGTCTAGTTTTGTTATATGTGGGACTGGGTTCTCCTTTGATAGGTGGTTGAATTAAGAAATCAGGTTAGCTTTGCATTTGACTGATAGTGAATCAGCAGAAGAAGCAGTCATGTTGTCTGCGTGGTTCCAATCAGAAGGTGACATTTTTTGTATTAACATTAAATGAGCTTGTAGGAGCGTCCTGTCTAAAGTATCGAGTTCAAATCGGAGTAGCCTTATCCTCTCTGAGATTAAAGATAGGCTGGCCTTAAACAGAATCTGTTTAGAATTCGGTGAAGATACAGCAGCAGAAGTGAGTGTGAAAGCAATGACTTACAGTACCCCCCGGGGTTTACAAATTGAGCTGCACCTGTGGTGATTGCTATATCGGGGAGACGAAACGACATGTCTCTGACCGAATTCGCGAGCACAAATCAGACTTGAAACACGGCAGAACGAATTTTTCTGCCGTAGCTGATCACTGTTGCAACGCTGTGGGTGATCACGATATAGTTTTCTCCGATACCAAGGTTCTCTGCAAACCCACGGGTTTTTATCAGAGATTTGTCCACGAGGCAATTCAGATTTACAAACACAGACACAATTTCAACCGAGAAGATGGTTTCAAATTAAGCAATCATTGGAAAGATGTTCTAAATCATACCAAACATTAAACTAATTTTCAATGGTACAGTATATTTATTCAAGTAGTGGCATTCCAAGCTCTCACGGTGGTGTAATGTCCAAGCTTTCTCAGTAGTACGTTTTATGCTAATTTCCTTTGTCAAGGCGTTTTCTGTTTACCTCCTCACAGCTTAAAAGAGGTGACCTGCGCTTGGCTTTCTTCACTCCAACGCTGTCCCTTGGACAGTTTGGTCCCTTCACCTGATGAAGGCCACTTGTGTTGTGGCCGAAACGTCGTGATTGTTTGTTGTTTCGTTTTTTACCTACGTGACTTTACCGAATAGAACCAAAGAGTATGGGGTCCTTGCAGTCACGAAAGCTTCACATCTAGAAGCATGCATCAGTCTGCCAGTAGGGGGCAATGATTACTATGTGTAATTATATTTGAGTGCAAGTCAACCGTCTCTCACCGCGAGGGGAGATGCAGGTGTTTGATAACAATGCACAGTTATCATTTTAGCACTCTGAGGAGCGCTAGCTGCCACACTTTGCCCGATTGCATTCGCCGTATTTCTTAATGGACCTCACAGTGGACTCGTTTATACCAAAATGTCAGCCTACCGCAGACGCAATCTCACGGGCGGGATTACTGCGAGACTGAGGACAACATGGGCAGCCGAAGGGGGGGTGCATAATCATTGCAAACAATAAAAAATGGAACAATATTCTGCGTGCACCTCCCCGGTGTCGGTGGTCTGGCAGGTTGTACACTCGCGAATACTGGAGTGCGGCAGGTCGCGAATAAGGAATTCGTATACGCTTAGTAACTCGTGAATATGCGAAACTCGCCAATCGAGAGCTCGCACACTTGTGAGGCTTTACTGTAATTTGCAGCGTATTTTTTTCTTCTTCGAATTCGATGCTGGCATTTAATGCCCTACTCATTTCAAATGGCATCGCCGGAACGCTTAGTGTTCAATCTCGAGTGAAGTGAAACTGCGTGTAGCATTTCACGGTGAATGCAAACCGAGGTATTAACTGGGACTTCCTTACGGAGTCAAACCGCAATCCTCCACAACAAGCAGGCGAACGTGCTGCCGTTGGGGCCATGCTGCCGAGGGAGCGACAATACTTTTTGAAGGCCCGCGATTTTCACGCATCGTACTTGGTAAACGTTGAGCGTCTCACGGTCCACAGCTTCCTTCAAGTATATCCGTCCATGGCCGTCCAGGTAGAACAGCCCCACGGGATCCTCATCCGCGCCAGGGCCCGTGAGCATGTACTTGTGTGCCTTCTGCTTGTCCGACGTGTACTGCGGACACAAGCGCGTGTACGAAAACAAAGAGCCAGTGGCAGTCCACTACCGTTGCCACCTCTGAGGTGTATATATATTACAATTTTTTAGATATCATGCAAAAAAGAATATCTCGCATGACGATGAGAGGGGAGAACACCATGCATGTGCGTTGTCTCGAGTGAGTGGAGAATTATTATTACTATGTGGGACCTTTAACATTCCTGGGAAGACTGGAAAATATCCCAGACACATCCCAGGACAGCGGTTACCTACTCAAACATCGCCTCTCCACCCACTCGCTCGCTGGGGGCCTGTCTCACTGTGAGACACTTCACCTCTCCACCACAACTCTCCAATCCACATATAACATGGGCCTCCAGTCAGAAAAAAACTCAACTTTTTACCCACAGTTTGTGTGTCCATCCCCTTAATCCGTGAAGCAAGATGTCGGACTCAGAATCTTTATGCATAGCTGTATACCCATACGGTTTACCAGTATTCTTGTACAGGGAAATTGAGTTTTAAGGTCCACACAGCGTACAGCCGTTTCAATACGGGCAAAAAACCCCCCGCAATTTTTGTCTGTATTTCTCCCTTGTAATGAGACTTTGTAGGATAAACGTTGAGATTTATAAGGGCACGGGGTGACCAGCAAGGTCTGACTTCATCTGTAATAAGGTCGGCACTGAGAGGTGTGTTCATGCTGGTGGAATCCGATGACCTGTAAAGTGGCAGATGTCCAGTAGCGGTGGGCTGGAATGTTACTACGACAAACAATACAAAATACACAATAGGACCGCAAAGCATTCGAAAGGCAAGCAAATCGCAAAAAATACAAAACGCTCAACTATCATTTTTATTGTACCACGTAAAGCCCACTGAGCTATCAGCTTCTTTTTTCGGAAGCGCCCTGGGCCACAAAGCTTAGCTCAACGAGAGTGGCATATTGCGTGGAAATTTATAGCCGCCAAATAAATAGAAATAGTCTCACCGCATGTCTCTGCACGCGGAAAGGAATGAAAAACCGGAGGACCCGGAGAAAAAAAGCCTACAACGCCACGGGGAGAGAGACGCACAAACTCCAAATATACAAGAGGCGTCAGGGTTGGGGTTGAACCCCCCCCCGACCTCCTGCACACCAGGCGAGGGAGATAACGTCTCTCCACCTTCGTGGCTCCCAATTTGGGACCACGACAAGGCAGCGGCTTAGCTATCGAGTACACGGGCGGTGCAATCGGCACCGGCCCGGAGGGGCCTAGGCGCAGATCTCCAACTAGTAGTGGCAGGGGAATTGGACAGGGGGACCCCGTTTCGTTCCTCCCTCGCGCCAGGGCCTGTGCCCACCGCGCTAGGCCGCTGTGTGCGTGCGTTACCACGGTGACCAAGACCGGGTAGGGGCCGGGATCGTTCTCGTCGATGTGAGGATTGGGAGCTGTCCACTCGCGACGAACGCGGCTCGGGCACCGAGACGACGACGCACCGTCCTGCGGACAAATGTGGGGAGCGAGGAAGGACAAACACAGAGAGAGAGAGAGAGACGGACGCACGGATGGAAAAGCAGGCAAAGAAAATGTAAAAAAAAAATGCAGTGATAGAAAGCGTTACAAATTGTTGGTTGAGAGAGACGGGCAGACAGAGAGGCATAAAGACAGTCAGACGTAGTGCTAGATGTGACATATAGGAAGGTAGAGTGATGGATAGACAGGGTAGAGTGACAGAAATAGTGACAGGCAGACGCAGTTATAGCCAGTGAGGAAGACATGAACGGACGCAAAGATGGCCAAGGAGGTATAGTGTCAGGCAGATAGCGTGACAGGCTAACACGTGCACAGATGCGTAGATAGGAAGGGAGAGTGGCAGCAACAGACATAAGACAGAGCTGCTCGATCATTTAGACAGCATCTCAGTCAGGTACTCAGTGAGTGAACGAGGTGACCTCAAATACGCTTTAATGTCCTGTAATTAAAAAAAAAAACTATCAGGAAAGGTGGCCCCGCAGGAATGTGGAATTCCCATCACTGGCCCTGTAGGGCTGTGCATGGGAGATTATTCCCCCCCCCCTCCAAATTCCTGTTCATTTGAGCAAGGAAATTACTTCGACTTTTTTGTCTTTAGAATCAAGATAGCAAACTAACCTGCTTCCCTTCCTCCCTTAAAACAACCTCTTCTCCCCTTGCCCATCCTGCCTCTGTTACTCCCCGCCCCCCAGCTATGACCAGACCCCACCCCAAACCCTATCACTACCCCAACCCCCTATCACTACCCCAAACCATATCACTACCCCTGCCACTACCCTGCCACTACCCCTACTACCCCAACCCCTATAACTACCCCTATCATTACCCCAACCCCCTATCACTACCGCAAACCCTATCACTACCCCAACCCCTGCCACTACCTTCATCACTACACCAATTCCTTTTCACTACCCCTATCACTACCCCAACCACTATCACTACCCCTATTACTATCCCAACCCCCTATTACTACCCCTATCACTACTCCAACCCTTTTCACTACCCCTATCCCTTTCACTATCACTACCCCAACCACCATCACTACCCCAACCCCTATCACTACCCCAAACCCTATCACTACCCCTATCACTACCCCAACTCCCTATCACTACCCCTATCATTACACCTATCAGTACCCCAAACCCTAATTCACCACTCTCACCTGTTCTCCTGTCACCATAATTGCACCAACACTTTTAATAACAACAACCCGAGTCTTCATTATCTCAATGACTATCGTCTTGTGCACGATTTTTTTATCGTTGTGTAGAGACAGTGCGGGTGTAGAGACAGTGCGTGTGTAGAGACAGTGCGTGTGTAGAGACAGTGCGGGTGCAAGGACAGTGCGTGGACTAGGCACACAGGGGAACCATCAGGGAAGTTCGGGAATGGGCTAGAGGGTTCGAAAAAGGGGGCGTGGCCGGGGGTGGAGTGAGACCACGCCGGGGATAAAAGGGGGTGACCGGCGAGACTCGGGGCTGCAATGGGATCGGGGTCGAATGTCTTGACGCCGTCACTGTCTTCGCATCATCGCTGTCGTTGCTGTCTTGCGTCGTCGCTACTTGCGTGTCATCCCTGGCCCAAGTTATCTGCGTGTCATCCCTGGCCCAAGTTATCTGCGTGTCATCCCTGGCCCAAGTTATCTGCGTGTCATCCCTGGCCCAAGTTATCTGCGTGTCATCCCTGGCCCAAGTTATCTGCGTGAAGCACCCTAATTAAGAAATGAAGCAACCTTCTACAGTTCCAGTTGTCCGATAGTCATTACAATTGTAAAGCGCCTTCAAATAAGGCGTTCTTCAGTATAAATATATATAACTAAACGTGTTTTTTTATTATTATACCAGGTAATGCCACTGAGCTATATAGCTCTTTTCAGAAGCGACCTGTCTACAAATGATGAATCAACGAAGTGGCTCATCATCACGTGGAAATGTATAGCAGCCAAACACTCTAAAACGCGTGGTGATGTTGATTCTAAATGTAAGGGCAAAACCGGAGGACCCGTAAAACATGCATGCGTCCACAGGGAGAGAGAGAGCGAGAGAGACACGCAAACTCCAAATATACAGCGGGCGTCACGGTTGGAATCGAGCCCACGACTCCCTGTATACCAGGCGAGGTATTTAGCACCTCCGAGCCACCGTGGCGCTGTCCCATGAGCTCAAGGGATGAGGAATTACCGCGAAGCCGATTGGCAGCAAACATCACCGGGGGGGGTGGGGGTGGGGGTGGGGGTGGGGGGGGGGGGGGGGCTGGGTGCGAGAGGCGTACCTGAGCGTGGCGCCGCACAAGAATCTGCGCTTCGCTCCTCCGCGTTCTGCCACCGCGAATGCCGCGCGCCCTCACGGCCACGTGAAGCTCCGACCCCGCGGCCAGGGTCAGAGGTCGCGACGTCACGAGCACCCCGCGAGAGGTCACGCGCAGGGAGCGCGGCCTCACCGCGAACGTCGGCGCCGGCATGCCGCCGCACGATCGGAACGGGACTGAGGGCCCAAAGAGGGACGGAGAGAGAGAGAGGGTCCACGGTTTGGGCTCGTGGGTCAGGGCGCGCAAAAGATGTGGCCAAAGTTCGTTCATGAGGCCGTCCACCACCACCCGACGTTAGCCGAGCGAGCGAATTGAATTGCTCACGGGCAGGAGCGTTCGACACGCCGATTTATGGCTTCGGTTCGCTCGTGAGTTTAAGAACAGTATCATTTGGCGATTAGCCAAGAACGGGGCTCGCTTCAAACTGTGCAAAGCATCTTCAGGAGCATCGAGGAAGTCGGAATGACGGCGTCACCTGACCCATATTCTTAGATAGGGGAGATAAAATCACGCGAACAACCAATCACATTTAAAACTAGCGTTCAACTTTTCTATATTTCATTCTACCTGGACAGAGACCATGGGGCCGGCCCAGGACATGCTGGGCGGGACGATGTCAATCGGCTAGCCTGGGAACCCCTGGGAATTCCCCAGGAAGAGCTAGAGTCTGTGTAGTGTATAGTGTAGTGTATAGTGTAGTGTATAGTGTAGTGTGTAGTAGTGTGTAGTGTAGTGTATAGTGTATTGTATAGTGTAGTGTATAGTGTAGTGTATAGTGTAGTGTATAGTGTAGTGTATAGTAGTGTATAGTGTAGTGTATAGTGTAGTGTATAGTATAGTGTAGTGTATAGTAGTGTATAGTGTAGTGTATAATGTAGTGTATAGTGTAGTGTATAGTGTAGTGTATAGTGTAGTGTATAGTAGTGTATAGTAGTGTATAGTGTAGTGTATAGTAGTGTATAGTGTAGTGTATAGTGTAGTGTATAGTGTAGTGTATCGTAGTGTATAGTGTAATGTATAGTGTAGTGTATAGTGTAGTGTATAGTAGTGTATAGTGTAGTGTATAGTAGTGTATAGTGTAGTAAATATTGTAGTGTATAGTGTAGTGTATAGCAGTGTATATTGTATAGTGTAGTGTATAGTATAGTGTATAGTAGTGTATAGTGTAGTGTATAGTGCAGTGTATAGTGCAGTGTATAGTGTAGTGTATAGTGTAGTGTATAGTGTAGTGTATAGTGTACTGTATAGTAGTGTGTAGTGTAGTGTATAGTGTAGTGTATAGTGTAGTGTATAGTGTAGTGTATAGTAGTGTAGTGTATAGTAGTGTAGTGTATAGTGTAGTGTATAGTGTAGTGTATAGTGTACTGTATAGTGTAGTGTATAGTGTATAGTGTAGTGTATAGTGTAGTGTATAGTGTAGTGTATAGTGCATAGTGTAGTGTATAGTGTAGTGTATAGTAGTGTCTAGTGTAGTGGTGCTGGAGTCAGTCGCCAAAGAGAGGTCTGACCGCCATACTCAACACGCTGCCGCCGTGACCCTCACCAGGACAAGCGGATCGAGAAATGAACAAACGAATTGTCTGTGACCATCCCGGCGTGCAGCATTTTTATTCATCTTAATATTGGCTGCGAGAGCCCTACGTGTTCGAGAGAGGGTGCCACTTCTCCATAAAAATATATAATACCCCCCCCCCCCCCAAATTTTAACCGGATTGCGCTACCAGTGTGATGCCATTAAAATGAAGAACGCACTCGGATATCCACAGCTAGGCAATGCAACCCTCTGCGCGATGGAGACCGGCCCACAAAAGCAGATGCCCGAGAACGACTCCTGGAGAAGCCTTCAAGTGACCTGTGTTCGGCGCATCAGCGGGCAGCACCTTCCCACACATTCTGAAAAATTAGAGTAATGTTCATCACGTGATATAGTTCAACCCATCGGTATTCTTAATGATCAGGTCTGAAATTGTAGGCAAATTAAGGTTGCAAAACGCTGATTTTTGTTTGTGTGCAGTCCACCGATGACTCTGGCTTAGGGCCATCAACTCACTACACTTGAGAACCCGTTTAAATCTTGGTACCCCAGCTACCTAGATGTAGGAGTCAAGGGCGCTGAGCTGGTACCACTGAGGTCCTGTGTTCGAATCCAAATAATTTCAGCTACAACCTGTAATTAAACTGCGACTACACTTTTTCGTGTGTTTAGTTTGTTGTCCTTTCCCCTGTACCTCCGATGAGCACGGCTGCCTACGTACGGTGTGTAAGAAGTTCAACATACATATTGTACATGTCTTTGGGTAGCCAGTAACCGGCCTTGGCTCGCGCTCGCTGTGAATTGCATAGGGACCAATATATTTGCATAGAGACGCATTAACTGCATAACCTGAGTTGTGGTGAGACGGGGGTTTTGCAATTGTAATGAATTAATGTCTCGGCAAGATCACCAATGACATGAAAAAAAAACGACCACGTAATATGTATTTTTAAAATCAGACTAAATTCCAGCGGTGACGTTTGACCTATGCCAAACACTCAGCGCATAGAAGGAAAACCCACAGTGTGGGGACAAACATAGGCCTCTGCTGAGAGTCACTTCAGAATTAGTTCTGTGATCCTCTTCCATCGAATCCCACGTGGCAGGGTTATTGAGTCATGTGTAGCTTTCGAGATTAATCACGAAGAAGACCATTCGCCTCCTTCGCCTATATCTGTCCCGTCGCGTAAACCATCTCAATTAATTTTTGACACATCCAATCAGTCACACGGGTTTTTCTTTCAAGTGCATAATTTCAGCAAGATTTGTTCGACACCAAAGCAAACTGGACTGGTTTTCACATGCGTCATTGGCAGAACCAGGCTTGCTTGAAACAACTGCTGGTGAATTGCCAGATGAATATATCCAAGTGGTAAGACATGAATGCTCGTTCAATATTAAACTATGTTAATGGTTAGGATGTTGACGTGGCTTCATCCTTGCCTTGCGCGAGTGTTCTTGTTTTCTTGTGGCACCATAATTGGACGCAGTTGAACATCATGCCGAGGATAAAGTGTCGTTAATTCGAATAAAAGTTATTAGGAAAATCGAGCGCATACGTGCACGTGTTTCATACCCATTACAAACAATCATTCTCACCTTACTCTTTGGTTCTATTGGGGTAAGTCACGTAGGTGAAAAATAAAATAACAAAAAAATCACGACGTTTTCGGCCACAACACAAGCGGCCTTCATCAGGTGAAGGGACGAGACTGTCTGGAGGACAGCGCTGGAGTGGAAGAAGCCACGCTTAGATCACGACCTTTAAGCTGTGTGAGAAGAAAAGACCAAAAAGACCTTTGTCAAGGCGCTTGGTCTTTTTCTTCTCACACAGCTTAAAGGTCGTGATCTAAGCGTGGCTTCTTCCACTCCAGCGCTGTCCTCCAGATAGTCTCGTCCCTTCACCTGATGAAGGCCGCTTGTGTTGTGGCCGAAACGTCGTGATTTTTTGTTATTTTATTTTCACCTACGTGACTTTACCAAATAGAACCAAAGAGTATGGATCTTAGCAGTCACGAAAGCTTTAAATCTAGAACATTCTCACCTTCTCACAACCAGGATAATAAGAAGTTCAACATACATACTGGATATATGTATTATATAAATGCATTTAGGTGCAGCGATGGCATTTAACGTTCAAATGAGGAATACGTGACGGACACCATCCATGCACAGCCAATTACAACAGAAGAACAGGTAAATCGTTTTGGAAAGCATGTTTTGCGTGATATTGCATTAATGGCAGTGGCTGATAGGCGCGAAAGACACAAAAATCACCACATCCGTCAATAACACTGGCCCATAGAACAGGCAAGTGACCCAACTCAGGTGAACCGGGTATCGAAGTGCTGTGCGCTAATAACGCACCACTAACTCCCCCAGATGTGTATGCACATGCACAGAAACGCACAGAAGAGACCAAGATGCCCCGTATAGCTTTTTTTGAGAGGATTGTTTGTTGGTGGGAAAAGCGCTGTCAGCGAGCAACTGTGGAGGGCGGCACAGCGAACGAAGTTGGCAAAAACCACGCCTGGACATCCCTGTTTGCCCCAGTTGAGATGTGTTAGACAAATCCAAATGGGTTGTTCGTTCAGGCTGAGTCAACCTAAGGGAGGCCCTGGACCGGAGCAGATGTTCATTATTCACGTTGCCCATGCCGGGTTCATAGCGCAACACGCTAGACCACGACACTACCTCCCGACAAAGACAAAGTTCCCCCGTATAAGCTTAACAGACCGTAGGGGCAAGTGCTGTTAGCAAGCAGCACCTATGAAGGCCGGCACGGCACACGAGGGGGTGGGTGGTCATCGCGACGCCCGACCGCCTTTGTCTCCCCCGGTGGCGATGTTCGCGCACCGCACCAGGTACTCATTTGAGGCCGAGTCGACCTAGGGGATATTCGTCACTGGTGTCGGCCGGGGAATCGAACTCGGGTCGCCGGATTCGTAGCGCAGGGCCCTGACCGCGACACCAATCCCAATGCCACTTCATTCGCGAGCGAGTGACGGCGACGTCACCACGGCGCCTGTACCATCGCCAGGTGCGCCTTGAGGCCAAGGTGACACCACCACTCCCCACACCCATACTCACATTCGCATTGCATATTCGCCCAAAGGCCCTGCAACACGTAGGCAATCCTATGCGAAAACGCTGCCGGCAATGTGGGCACGAGCGAGCACGTCGCGGACGCGGCGCGGTGCACACCGCGTTCCAAATGCTAACGAGATGAGGTATTTTTTTTTTCAAAGAGATTCTCGGCAGTTCTTGCGAGCGATCGAGCGAGCCCGACCTTTACCGACGAAGACGACCAATGTTTGCGTGTTGTCGGCTCGAGTTGTTTACGCCCAGGAGGCTGTGCGCAGGGCTGATGGAACGTGTTAAACATTTTTTTTTAATCTTTGGAGAGACAACAGTAGCGTTCAAGGATGGCGTATTGACCCGATGGTTTAATTTGTCACATTTTCCGCGATGATGCTCATTGTCTGTGATGGATTACCTCTTGCCTCACGCTGTAAAGACGTTACCCCGGGTGAATGACGATATAATGTCGAAGCGCCGTATGATGCCATCCATCAATAATTCCATTAACAGCCAAGTCTGCAGACAAAATGCTTCCGAAATAAATGTCGTCCAGCATGGCTA